AAGTGTTAGATAAGGATCTGGGAAACTCGGGTTCAAATACCCACCCTATAGGGGGGAAGCTTACTGGGTGACCTTTTGCCAGTCACTCATACTCAGCCTAACCTACCTCATGGGGAGGGTTGTGAGGGTCAAATAGAGAAGGGGAGAACAATATTGTAAGCACTACTGGGAGAAAAGTGAGGTACAAATAATATAAATGTAAATACTATCTTGGATTTTTATTTTCTGCTCAAGGCTATCACTATATGAGGATGGATGGATGGATAGGATTTAATGTACATTTGCTTTCTCATCCATATTCTCCTTGCATTAACATTTGCTGGAAAAAATAGTGTAGGAGGCTCAAAGGCAAATTTGCAAGCAGAGGGCAAAACATCTGAGTTTTTGACCTAATTTAGTTTACTTGGCATTTCCCCCCATATGCTTATGTAGAGAGTTGTCAATACACCAACAGAGTTCTTTCTCAGTGTACCTCCATGTGAAGAGAGATATGTACCACCCACAGAGAATTCACAGAAGCTTCTCCACAATTCACAGTAGAAAGGACATATGTGCACACAAGTTAATTTAATGCTGGTATGTCAGCCCTGCCCCTACCAGCTGGGGAAGGCTGACTGCCTTGAAACATTTGGAGACAGGCAGGTTTCGACTATTTTAAAATAAAATAGTGAATAGCAAAGGATTTTACAGCTAAGTGCCTCACATGATGGGAAACCGCACAGGTCAGCATGAGAGGATCATCCAGTCAACCAACCCCAATCTACAGTTGACTACACTGTAGGCTTACTATGTGCCCAGTGGCACTGGGGAATCTGCCATCCCTGCTCTCAGTCTCCCACCCTCAATAAGAAGGGAGGGAAATCGGGAGATGGTGTGGATGGTGACGCCCTAAGAATTTTCCTTGATCCCTGTGGTAAAGACCAGGTTTCTTGCCTTCTTGATCCCTCACATCCTTGGAGGATGTCCTAGCCAAATCGCTCATGGCAATTGTTGTTCCAGTCTCAGCCAGTTTTAAGATATACATACTAGGCCATTGATTTCACCCTGAATGAAAATGCAGACGACCAGTGTCTTACTACCACCAGAGCTAAATAATAGATAGAACATGGAGGAAATGATCCTGAGTCAATTTTGGGGATGCTAATAAGACCCTGATGTATATTGTCACAATTCTGTTCAGGTATTAATGGGCTAGAATTAGAAACTTGAATTGTGCCTAAAATGTTACAGCTAGGAGTACAAATACTAATACTGATGCAGCCATTTTGAATGCTTCGGGTGTCTACTGACCACCTAATATTGATGCAGAACTTCAAAACAACAACCAAGTTAAGCCCTTTAGTCAGTGCACTCCTGCAGTGGTATAGCCTTGAGATTTTGACAGCATAGCCAGGAACATTTCAGTAGGTGGATCTTGCTTCATCACTAAGATATATTGTACAGTAAAGTGCTTTCTTAGATGTTTTCTTATATAAAGACTGGTATAGTGTTTTAAACTCCTGACAGAATAAGGCTACATCCACATATAGGTTTTTCTCCTGCACAGGAAGATATACATTTTTGAAGGCCCCATCTGTGTTAGTACCATTCACTTTCCATCAGTCCTTCACAGCTGCCATTTTCCCTGCCATACCACTGGAGAGCTTTTCACTGGCTTTAAAAAAATCAATAATTGCTCTTGCAGAATACTGCAGTGATATTATAGTAACTGGTTGCTGTGATCTACTAGTTCCTCTGGAGTCTCACCTTTTTTTTTAAGTACATCTCTAGCCCAATTCATTGAGGAGCTACTCTGCTTGGGAATAAATGGTGATAAAAATGTAAAACAGTGGAAAATTAAGTTCAGACTACTGAGACATGCAAACACCTTGAAAATAAAAAAGAAACCATGGAGCTTTTTTCATTTATGCATGAGACACAAAATATGATGTCACTTTTTTATTTAAACAAAAGCTGCCTAATGTTTCCAGTCAACAAAGGTGGTGTTGTGGTTACTAACATTTAAAGGCAGATACAGAAGCAGAAAGCAGTCTGAGCTCCACTTGGAGGTCACTTTGATAAAATCTACCCTGTTCATACACAACACAGAGAAACTGACCTCAAGAGATCATTGGGGTAAGAAACGTGTAAGCAAACTTTCTCCATAGCTATGTTTTCGCAGTTCAGAGACTTGCTAGCCTTTAAACTAGTTTTTAAAAAACAGGTAGGTGACATGACAAAGTCTGCAGTATTGTGTTTATATATACATTGTCAGACCAGGATCTGTGAGACTCTGGTTCGAATCTCTACCATGGAAGGTTGCTGGGTGACCCTGAGCCAGTCACAGACTGTTGACCTAACCTACCTCCTAGTGCTGTTGTGAGGATAAAATGGAGGGTAGGAGAACGGTGTAAGCGACTTTGTATTCCCACTGGGGAGAAAGGCAGAGTACAAATGAATTATATATATATATATATAAAAATCCCTGATCTGGTTCTGTTCAGCTTGCTTTGGTAAAAAATATGGATTTGAGGCAAAAGAAAACAGAAGGCTTTTCCTAAAAATCTTAACATCAAATACAAGACTGCAATAATCATTACAACACCCATGTAAGGTGAGTCAGTCTTTGTATCATCCTGATACAGATGGGACAGGGGCTGCAAAAGAATTGCTTCCTTAAAACCACCCAGTGGGTTGGATCCAGCCAGGTTTGCTGCTGGTAACACAGAGAGAAGATGATTGCCTTTCACTTCCAAAAAGACCTCATGAGACCTACATGGACAAAAGCCACATGGGACACAAGCTGTAGTAAGGAGGGGACCCAGCCCAGTCATGACTGAGATGAGATTAGAAATGTGGACTGTGAGCTCTATAGAGGAAGCACAAAGAAGAGCTCCTGGTAGGCAGGAAACTTCTATAGAAAACTAGGTAGACTCAATGTCTTATTTTACAGACATCCTGTACTGACAGTAAAGTAAGGAGAGATCGGTCTTTGAGGAGTGACATATGGGTTGGTTTAACATTCCAGCTCTTGTTATTTCAGGAAGAGTCAATGGGCTTTGAAGGGTGTAACTCTGGTTAGTATAGCACTGTTTAATCAGTACTAAAGATCCTACTGAAGTCAATGGAAGCTGATGAGCTCTAGTCTGTATTCTCTCATGTGTTGCTGCAAATTGGCATATTCATCAGAAACAGAGACTTATGTGAATTAAATGAAATATTGGGTTTCTGGTGTTTTTGACATATGCACTCCACTTTCTAATATAGCTCCCTAACTACTATTTCTGATTATATTTAACCATATTTTAAAACCTATTATGGAAGAGCCACAATTAATCTAAAGTTATTCTCCATAAAACATAAATAGACAAAGGCTGCTTAGCTGTACGTCAGCAGCTTTCCTAATTCCTGCTTCCTTCTGGCTGTATAGAAGTCTTTCCACATTGATTACATCTGAATAAATCATCAGACCATACTCAGAAGGTACAACTTTACATCCCCTACAGGCAGCTCCACCCTAACTGACAGCAAAAAGCATTATTTTTCAACTGTTCTTTGTTTGGAAGGATCCCAAGGTTTAAACAATACCAAATGCTGCACAGAACCATCTGTTTTGACCATAAGCCTCAACGGGTGGCCTGTTTCACTAGAGGCAGACACGTATAGTGCACATGCATACCCACCCATGAGTTTCTGTTATGATGATGATTGTGTATATATTTTAAATACTTCTATTCGGGCCCCAACAGTTATAAATCCTGCTCTGCCTGTAGACTGAGATTCTGAATAATCATATCAACTTTAACAACTATTAAAAACTCATCCTTGGGCTTATCAGGAAAGAACAGTCTTATAGACTTTCCTTGACCCTTGAAAAGACGTGGTCAGTTTGGGAAAAAAATTTAACAGCCATTAAATCGGGTTTTGAACTATAACAATCCTAATGTTTTGTCAAAACAGGACACAGGCATCTGTTCAGCAAGCAGAAGGTCTAGGGTTGCCAAGCCTATCTTCCACCTCCAGCGGGGGACTTTGGGGGTGTTCCTGGAAGGGCCGGGGTATCCCTGATGTGATGATGTCACGTTGGGGATGTCCGCTGCCCCCCCACCCACCCATGCACCGGATCTCCAGAAACGCCAGTTCCTTGTACTTAAAGGAGCCGGTGTTTCCCTTTTAAGTGCAGGAGCCAGCATTTCCCCTTTAAGAGCAAAGAGCCGCGTTTCCCTTTTAAGTGCGCAAAGCTGGCATTTCCCTACAAGCCTGATCTCAAGCAGATATCGGGCTTGGGAGGAAACATGGGTTCCACGCACTTAAAGGCAGCCACCCCTCTCTCTCAAGAGAGAAGGGAGAGGGGTGGCTGTGGGTGTTGGGGGTGGGGCTTCCCCCGCCAGCCATCTGGCCGGCGGCGGGTAGAACCCCCCCAAAAAAGGGGGATCCCTGGCAAACCGGGGGGGGGGTTGGCAACCCTAAGAAGGTCCCAGGTTCAGTCCCCAGCATCTCCAGCTAAAAGGATCAGGGGGTAGGTGACATAAAAGACCTCTGCTTGATACCCTGGGATGCTACTGCCATGCTGAACTGACAGTATTCATCTTGAGGGACCAGTACTCTGATTCAGCATGTCAGCTTCTGGCATGTAATGACTGTGGGCCAAACTGATTCTTAAAATATTGGCATTCACAGCATTTGTAGGAATTGCTTATTGCAAAGGTGTGTAAAACATATGGTGTTCTGCTCATTTGCAACTGAAATTTTAAATCTTTCCCACTTCAATGACTTCTTAACTTTTTCAGGTGTTTGTTCTGCATTAAAGCTGACAGTCCCATCCCATACGTTCCATGGCATTGAAGGGCAGCCACTCCAACTATCAGTTGGCTATCATTTCAACGTAACGGTTTCTGATATTCAGATAACATGGATGTTTCAAGGGCCATCAACGCCGACCGTATCTTTGCTTATGTTTGGAAATCAGGCAGTAGTTTCAGACTTGGAATATCAGCACAAATTTACATTTACACCTCCAAATGCATCACTGCTGATAAAGTCTTTACACTTTAGCGATGAAGGCAATTATACTATTAAAATCAATATAGCTCAAAATGGGACAATATCAGCAAGCGAAAATATTCACGTTACTGTTGACGGTAAGTAACATGTGATTTCAATTTTGTAATCTGGTATACCTAGTAATTACTTTTCCTTAGTTTCTTTATAGCACTTCCTTTGTTATTTTGAAGGGTTCGCTACAGCTTCCATTGTGAACTTCTGTTTCCAGGGATGTATAATTTAACTGTGGGGGGAAAAATTGTGTTCCTTCCAGGCTGATACATAAAATCTTATTTTAGAAGAGTATTATTTCATTCGGAGCCACTTTAAAGTATCTGTTTGTGTTGCTCATCTTCTTTTTTTGGAAGGGAAATATAAAGCTTTTTTTTTTTTTTTTTGGTAACCAACACTTCAGGGGGGAAAATTTCTAAAAATTATTCATACAGGCCCTGATTCAAAGGAGTTTAAGGGGAAATTTAGAATGTGTAGCACTGCCTCAGCAAAGTCTGGGATTTTTTGAGAGCAGGTAGAATTTGGAAAGGATATGACATCATTTCCAGGTCCTTAAAGAGATGGGAGTACCAGACCACCTCACATGTCTCTTGAGAAACCTGTATAAGAACCAAGCAGCGACCGTTAGAACCGGATATGGAACAACTGATCGGTTTAGCATAGGGAAAGGAGTACGACAAGGATGTATATTGTCGCCTTGCTTATTTAATATATATGCAGAGTACATCATGCGAAATGCTGGCCTAGATGAATCACAAGCGGGAATTAAGATTGCTGGGGAAAAGATCAACAACCTCAGATATGCAGACGATACCACTCTGATGGCAGAAAGTGAAGAGGACCTAAAGAGCCTCTTGCTCAGGGTAAAAGAGGAGAGCGCAAAAGTGGGCTTGAAGCTCAACATCAAAAAAACTAAGATCATGGCATCCGGCCCCATCACTCCTTGGCAAATAGAAGGGGAAGTCATGGAAGTAGTGACAGACTTCACGTTCCTGGGATCCCAGATCACCGCAGACTGTGACAGCAGCCATGAAATTAAAAGATGCCTGCTCCTTGGGAGGAAAGCGATGGCGAACCTAAACAGCATGATAAAAAGTAGAGACATCACCCTGCCAACAAAAGTCCGCATGGTCAAAGCAATGGTATTCCCAGTAGTCATGTATGGCTGCAAGAGTTGGACTATAAGGAAGGCCAAGCGCCGAAGAATAGATTCTTTTGAACTATGGTGCTGGAGAAGACTTTTGAGAGTCCCTTGGACTGCAAGAAGAACAAATCAGTCAATCCTAAAAGAAATCAACCCTGACTGTTCCCTGGAAGGCCAGATGATGAAACTGAAGCTCAAATATTTTGGCCACCAAATGAGAAGGGAACACTCACTGGAGAAGACCCTGATGCTGGGAAAGATTGAAGGTCAAAGAAGACGGGGACAGCAAAGGATGAGATGGTTAGACAGTGTCATCAATGCAACAAACATGAAATTGAGCAAACTTCAGAGGACGGCAGAAGACTGGAAGGCCTGGCGGGAGCTGGTCCATAGGGTTGCGAAGAGTCGGACTCGACTGTGCGACTGAACAACAACAAACATGGTCTTTGTCAAAAGTCAGAGTTCCTTAAGGGGTGAAAGGTTGGTCAAATGCAAACCCACAAGGTTCTGGAGTGTGAATCCCCACAACTTCAGAATAACATGCTACTGCCAGTCCCCTTAACTAATCCACCAGCCAGAGACCAAGGGACTGAATCTCTGTGTGAGGCAAAGCACCCCTGACCTCCCCCTCAAAGGTTAATGTGAATAGAAGTGGGTCTGGTCCATCTTGCCGGTGTTTTTAATTGGGCTCTTGGCCTTATCATCTTCAAGGCCAGAGATGAAAGTGGCATGATTTGCTTCTCATGTGGGCCTATGGCCTGTAGAGTGGGGGGAGGAGAGTCAAATGTGATGAGGTAATTTTCTAGAGGTTTCTCCTGAGAACGTGTTCGGATTGGATGTCATCATCACCTGAGGTTGATGAACCAAAAACTATAATTGAACTAAGGAGAGAGGTGCTGAGATCCTGATAAAGGCCTGAACTAGTGTTGCCAATATGCTAAAGGCGCTAAGGTTCTTTGACTTGTGTGGCTAGCCAATAAACCACACAGTGAAAACAATCATCCAGGCAGTAAAGGGTAACAAAGGTATTTATTCAAATAAAAGAGCAACTCACAGCTCATGGGTGTTCAATTTGTTACAGCCGGGAGCTTGCTTATGTACTTTTCTTGCTCCTCCTCACTTTACATCATCACTGACATCATGCAGACATGCTCAGTTCAGTTTTCTTTGTCTGGCCAGTTATCAATCACATAGTTGGTACACAGGATGTTGCTTGGCTGCGTTTCCACTCCTACAATGCAGGTGCAGCTCATTATTTTTGATTTGCAACTTTGTTTATTCCTTTTGGCATTACTCCCAAACTTCTGTTACCTTTGACTGAACTTTCAGACTCAGTTCATTCTCAGTATTAAACTCTGTCAGATCTTGTCATCAAACATTAATACATGCATATAGAAGTATAACAGCACTTTTAAGCTTATTTTCACTAACAAGTATACAAAATATGAAAACAATATAATTACAATGACATTCTAAAGCATTAAACTCCTTACATGAATTATTTAATTGTTTTAAAATAGCTTATGGCATTAAGCTCTTGTAGGTGCATTGAATCCATTTTTTAGCTTTCATTTTGGCTTATCAGAATATTTTTGGTCATTTTATGAAGCTGCTTCTGTTAAAATCAACAAAACAATAAATCACCGTGTATGAGTATACAATATAAGCAAATATTTATATATAATGCTTTTGAAATTAAATTGTCAGCAAAATTACAACTATAACAAATTAAATGCAATCTTAGGCTTGACAGTACATATGAGACACTACAGTATAATTTTAGACAAACAACGGATATCTAGTATAAGTCCGTTTACGAATCCTTCTTCAGGTTTGTCGTCTGTTTTCTTCTCTTCAATCAAAGATTGAGGGTAGCTGAGCCAAATATCACATTGTAGACTCTGTCACATGAGAGCATGATAGGAGCTCCCCAGTCACCAGATTAAGCGTGAAAACGTACAAAAAACTGTATATGAAATTTACATTGTGAAATAATGCTTGCAGCACTTTATTTGATTGAAGAGAAGAAAACAGACGACAAACCTGAAGAAGGATTCGTAAACGGACTTATACTAGATATCCGTTGTTTGTCTAAAATTATACTGTAGTGTCTCATATGTACTGTCAAGCCTAAGATTGCATTTAATTTGTTATAGTTGTAATTTTGCTGACAATTTAATTTCAAAAGCATTATATATAAATATTTGCTTATATTGTATACTCATACACGGTGATTTATTGTTTTGCTGGTTACATTACACCGTGGTCTTGTTTGTTATAATATTCTGTTAAAATCAAAGCTTATAATTTATAAAACAGATAGCTCAGTTCAGCCTGTAGGAGACACTGTTCTACAATACAAATTTTATACCTCCCAATTGACCCCTTTTAATTGAGAGTCATGATTAATTACTTTGGTTCTTGGCTAAGCTTATACCCACCTGGTAGTAGCCGGGTACTCCTTAAAACTTCACAGCACCCATTTCGGAGCGTTTCCCCTCGTTAGTCCTTTCAACTCAGTTTCTTTAATTGACTTATCCATGATTTATGTACTTTCATGTTTGCTGGGGTCCACACACCTGGCTCAGCTCTTGACCATTTTCTAACTCTTTCTTGTTAGAACTTGTTAGAACTTGTTAGAACTCTTTCTCTTCAACTTGGCTTTAACATAACATGAAGTTCTAAAACACACAAACAATTATATCAAGAGAAAGGATTTCTCTCTGTTTGTGTGTGTGTGTGTGTGTGTGTGTGTATAGAGAGAGAGAGCTGTCCTTTTGACCTAGTTAGGCTCTTATCTAAAAAGTACAAGATAGAACAATAAATCTTAGAATTGGCAGTAGTTTCAATTAGAACTGCCCACATACACCTTAAACACAGCTTTCTGTTATTCCAGTTAAAAATGCAAACAGAGTAATTCCTTCTTTAAAATAATAAGCAAACAGGCAAAGCATATAGACATTCAATCCAAGCATCTAATAATTCAATATATTGTGTTATTTCAAACTTAGAAAATACACATGATTTGTGCTTTTCTCATTCAGAGTTACTTTATAGTACTCGTAAAAACTAAATATAAATGTTACATAGAGAATACGATTGCACATCACTTAATTCTATTTCTTGGCTTGGCTGGCACCTTGCCAGGTCAACTTGACCAAAATTGGCAGAGATTTTAACAAGAGAGAAATACACCTGCAGTCCAGAGAACAAAACTCCCTATTCCTGTAATATATCTCGGACACTTGACAGGTCCTAATAAAAAATTGGCTGAGAAAACAGAACACCTGCAATAATTTCCCAATTAAAAGGTTACATCATAAATACTCCGTTTTTCTTTGAAACAAAGACTATAAAAACATGTATATAGTAGTGTCTAGTGTTCTAAAACAGGTTGTCAACTCTCCAGGAGATTCCCAGAGAATTTCTTCCCAAAGGCGTCTGTAAAACAGCAATAATCAATTAAAAAATCATTTGAACACTTGGCGCTTCCTACACTATGATCTGCTTGAATTGCAATTGCCAGCAATATAGAGAATGCTTGAGCTTTGGCCTTCGATTCTTGACTTTAAGGTTGGTGTTGTCTAATACAGCCCCAAGAAGTGCTAGACAGTTACGCTAGTTTTATTGTTTTCTTACTGCATGCTTTTAGAGTAATGTGTTGGCTGTAGTGTAAATTCTTATATTGCCTGAAATTGAAATAAAATTTATAAATCTTTTTAAAAAATTAATTGTCTGCTTACTTGTATACAACTGTTCTGGGGACCCACAGGGTTCAGGTTTGAGCTTCTTGACTAGCTCCCATGTCCAAAATCAAAAAGTCAATCCTGCAAGGTGGAACATTTTATGAGTTCCCAAAACAGTTAACCTGGAAGCTGTGGCCATCAGGGCTAAAGTACTGGATTCAGATTGAAGCCCCATACCTAAGAACACCACAAAATATAATTAGTAAGGTTTATTAAAGGAATGTATAGGAATATACAATGTAAGAGCAGTGAACAGCAAAGATAAAATAATAAAAGCTAAATATCTAACCTAAGCACATTTACAAGCATTGTTTCTCCAAATTGACAACTTACAGGACTGAGTCTAAGAGAGTTCCAAAGTCCAAGGCAGGTGTCTGGCCAGCAAGGCCCACCTCGTTAAAAATCAAGAGGTGACCCAAAGACAGATATAATCCAGACAAGGGCAAAAACTAGAAATGAAAGGTCTTCCTTTATGCCAAACAACCCATGTTGGCATGATTTTAATTGACCAATCAAATGTATAGTGAATGATGTAACTTGACCAATCAGGTATGTTGCTAACCAGATGATCTAAAAATCAGGTGTACAGTCATCATAATGCCATTTACTCTGCAGCTGTACATGGCCTAATTAAGTAAGCACCTTCTCCCATCTATGGGCCCTTGTGCTAATGAGATGGAATGTCTAGGCAAAACTCCCTCCCTGGATTCTTTGGCCTTGAAACTACTAGGCCTAATGGTTTAACCAGCACCTGACTTGTCTTCCTCCCTTTATTGTTCTCTGAAATGTCAGTCAGCATGACCTTGACTTCTCAGAGAAAGAGAAGCTTGCATTATTCTTGTAGGCCTCAACCCTGACCTAATTTTTTGAAAGACAAGGGTCTGGTAGGCAAGCCAGTCTTTTAACTCTCTTTTGGAATCTAATGTTCCAAATACGATTGCATCTATTGTGAAAACTTTCATTTCATTAGTAGTTAGGGTTGCCAGCTCCCAGGTAGGAGTGGGGGATCCCGTGATTTCATGGGCTCCAGCCCACCACTGGCCAGCCCCACCCCCAACAGCCATGGCCAGGCATGACGTCCCCTGGCATCACTCTTGTATTTTGGGCAAAACTCTATGGTAACCATAGAGTTTTGCCCAAAAAACGCAAGGTCACACTTCTGTGTAACGTCATCACACTGGGGGCATTGCACAAGGCAACATCACCCCATCTGCCCCCCACTCCCGGGAAGCTCCCTCCCACCCCCTGCTGGCAGAAAAAAGGACCTGGCAACCCTACTAGTAGCTTTGTGCTATGCAACTTTTGTGCAGGAATAAATTTAAGTCTGGTCTATATACACATTTTTCTCTTCCTGGAAATAGGAATTCAGTGGTAGAATCATGTATTGTTTCAGACTGCAGGTGTGGGGTGCTACGTTTACACTCCCTGAAAGCATAAAATTAATGTAGTAAAATCAAGGCTAGGATAGAACCTGTTCCTCTCATGCTATTTTTTCCTTGTTTCAGTTCTTTACACCAGAGAGCATTTAACAGTGATGCACCCTGCCACAGTTTCAAGTGATATAGAACACTTTTCTGGGAATAGGCTCCATTTGGAATTACCCTACTGAATTCCAAATGGTCTAGTGTAAATAGAAATATCTTGGACATAACTTCCTATCCCTCTTATATCACAGTTCCTGTCACAAAACCAGTGGTATACACTGAACCTTCTGCTGGAGTTGTGGAATACAAGGGGAACATTACTTTGAAATGTACTGTGAGAAATGGCACACGGGTTATCTTCCAGTGGATGAAAAATGGAAATCCCATTGAAGCCAGCACTAACTACTCCTTGTCTGCAAACCGTGACACACTGTCAATTGTCCCTGTTGTCAAAGAAGCCATTGGTAATTACAGCTGTTTAGCCAAGAATCCTGTCAGTGCCATGCAGAGTGATGTGATCAAGCCAACAATATACTGTGAGTAGATAAGATACTTATTATAGTGGCATATTTATATTGCTGAGTACATGCATTGATTTGAGAGGATGAGGGTGAGCAGGTAGAAAACAATCAGTGTCATGTAGGCAACTGATGTCTTTGGCACCAAACAGAAATGTCTGCTATTAGACTGAAGATCCATGATGACAGAAGGCCTACTCCTGAGGAGACCTGAAGAGAAACGTTATGATAATGTATTATTTCTAGGACTTACATTTGCTTAAGTTTCCACCTGTTACATCAATTAGATTGTCCATAGATAGGGTTACCAGATGTCCTCTTTTTGGTGTCTGTCCTCTTTTAGCTACTTTTGAAAAAAATCCTGATGAAAATGTCCTCTTTTTGGATTGGGAGGTTGAACCTGTTTTGCCCATTAAGGTTTTATATTGCTGGCTATGCGCTGTAACGATAAAATTCATTCATTCATTCATTCCTGTTTTGCCCTATAGTCCCCCAGTGGAGGCAAACTTCATCTGAAATAGTAGGGGTATTTAAAATGAGATTTGTCAAAGTGACCAGTTGTTTGAAGTAGTCAATAAGGAAATATGTCCTCTTTTTTTGCTTTTTGAAATATGATAACCGTACCATAGTAAAGTATTTGCATAATCTAGATCCATATTTGACTGGAAACAACATGGCAAAAAGTATGACAGCCTTGGCTTGGTTATGAATAATGTTAAGAATATGCAGTATTCTGGGGTCTGGAGAGATCTGACTGACAAGACAAAGGGCTATGAAAAATTAATCTAGTTTTAAGCAACTGATTCGCTCAACCCACTCTTGAAGGAAGATTTGTTTTCTAAAGGGGTTTGAAACAGATCCCAAAATAGCATAACAAAACTGGTGAATTTAAGCAAATACGAAGCTTAGAAATTAAATAATGAAAAGCAAAGAAACAAGAGATAAGCCTTAACTGATACAGTAAAAGAATTATGATCGAACGGATGGATTTTCTATTATCATATGCAGAAATCCAACTTATTTCAATGAAGCTTTTATCCATTTAACCACACAGTTATGATCAGTTTCAAATTAATGGACCTCATGCATTTGAAACCCACAATTCCAGATGATACTTCCAATAATAAATAATAAATCTGTGGGGTTGTGGCTCAGTAGCAAAGCCTCTGCTTCACATACATAAGTTTCCGGGTTCAATCCCTGGCATCTCCAAGTAAACGTATCAGACAACAGGTGTGAAACATCTCTACCCTGGAGAGCTGTTGCCTGTCAGAGTAGATATGCTGACCTTGATTGATCAGTGCTTGGACTCAGTATAAGGCAGCTTTATGTGTTCATAGCCAGTAATATTCCTAGGTTGTCTTTTTTTAAGTTGTGCATAGTTTACAATGACTTGTCCTCTTGTGCTTTCCCTTCTTACTTCTTTCTACACCCACACAATTACCTTTCATATTAGTATGTGGCGTCAACATGACTATACAGTCATGACAGGGCCACTTTACTCAGTCATGACAGGCCAGTGAACCAGCAGCATGTATGAAACAGAGGGAGGATGGAATGCTTTGAAAGTAAAGGGCTGAATATGGTGCTGAAACTAGAATATCGGGCTTGGGTATGGGAAACCCAGGCTTTCTCCGTGGTGGCTCCACTTTGGTGGAATGAGCTCCCTGAGGACATCAGGGCCCTGTGGGATCTATCAAAATTTCACAGGGCCTGCAAGATGGAGCTCTTCCGCCAAGTGTTCAAGTGAGAGGCCACACTAAACAGCTTACTATCAAGCCGAGTAACTATGCCCTACAATCGACTCTTGGCTGCCTACTCTGACATCTGTGTCCATACTAAAGAACTAAGCGCTAAAGAGCCAGACACCAGCTGCTAATTTCCCCTATGGTGGCCAATAGGACAGTTTTTTTGCCATCTTATATATGTTGTACGGTACCTCTGAATGGTTTTTATGAAATTAAATTGTTTAAATTGTTTTTACTGTTTTATGATGCCAATGGCCCTGTTAGCCGCCCCTGAGCCTGCCTCGGCGGGGAGGGTGGGATGTAAATGAAATAAATAAATCCAAGGTGAAGTTCTGAAGTTCACTGGGCCCTTTTGGGAAGTCAGCATTTTGGCTTTATTCATCCCACAGGGTTGTTGTGAGACTAAAACACTGCTCTGAGTTATGAAGGACAGGTGGGAGAAAATGTAACTCTGCAGTTTGGGGCAATTTCCTGTGTGTGCGTGTGAGTGAGCCGGAGTATTACATGTGCATTCAAAATATGTTTCTCTCCAAATATGAAAACTGCCAACACAATACCTGTAGATACCATTCTTTGGCACGCCAGATATGAAGAGCTGTTTGGGTGGAGGTGCCATCACCAAAGATAGCCTGTTACGGTGTAGTAAACCAGGAATCACTTCTATGGCCATAAACAGACTTCTTTGTGGGCCCATGGCCTATTGAGGAGAGAATGTGTGGAAGAAAACACAACACCACAAATCATTGTTGAGGAAGAGAAACAGCCACAGCTTTATTAGGAACAAGCCAGGGACCATTGGTGCAGCATGGGATGGATCTTTCTACAAACATAGGTGGTGATTTGTGACTTTCCGTATTGGGTATTTTGTAATAAGAATGACAGCTGATATAAACAGCCTGGCATATTAGTTACAAAATACAATCCATATAGTTTCTCCAGTAACATCAAACTCAAACATGGAACCAGTGGTTACAAACCAGCAAAGTTAATAGCATGGAAGTCGTCAGCAGCAGCAGTAATGATCTCATCTGCCAGATCCTACATTCAAGTCACATAATTCAATCTAAACTTGTATACAGCAATCCTGTTCTCCAGCTCCTTGTTCAACCTAGTGCAGGCTCCAGGCTCTGCATATGCCATATGCCATCTCTGCCAAGAGAGTTACAGTAATAATAAAGGTCACTCACAGTCAATACTTACCATCTGTTTGGAGCCAAGATGGATAACAGTTTCATGGTGACAGGAGCAATTGGTCATGTTCCCAGTGAGAAGTAAATCGTTGCTAAGAAGTGGTGATTTATTAATTTACAAGCCATTTAGTAAATAGGTTTTAGTAAGTGAAAAGGTTTAGTCTGCTGAGAACGATACTGGGAAAGAGATGGGTTTGAGAGAATTATACCAAACACGTCCTTAAACCTGAATGCTTTTTATTTGGAAAAATAAACATTGCTTTTAACTTATGCTTTTATCAGGACTACTTTCTATTTGTCTAGTAATTGAAAAACAAATGTACTACACAGTTAATGCATTTTGTACAGAAAGAGATCAGCGCAAAACTCAAAAGAACAAATTAGCCTGCCAGAGTGACTGCGCACCTAGAGCCGGCATGCTAAGTAGGTTGTTTGAGTTCAGTAGTTAATCCAAACCTTCCCTTCTGGCCGTTCTGGACTCAGAGAAAATAACAGGTTTTGAGATTAAGTTGCCATCTCATCTGTTGCTATATTATTATTCAAAACTAGGAACACAAGTCTTGAAAAAAGCAGGTACCCCCCCCCCTTACATGAGATGACCCAAGGAGAAAAAGGTTATGAAACTTTGTAAGGGGGAGGGGGAAAAGACTTGGCCAGTCCGCAACAGTAGAATGGATTTAAGGGAGGTGCTAATACATGCAAAATTATGCTCAGCCAGGACTTCCAACAGATTTAGGAGTTGTGACCCAAAGAAAGCTATAAAGGAAAAGCCAAACTATCCCTTTCTTACCTGAGGTGATGATGCCTAGCTTATAAAGGGCATGGCCTGAGGCGCAAAAAAATATGGCAACACGCCAGATAAAATGGACAAGGTTATATAAAGACAAAAAGGTAATAAAGGCACTGGTAAAATATGAAATAAAGTTCAGTTCAAATAGAGAAGTCAAAGGGATCTGGTAAACTCAAAGGCGAAGAGAAATAAGCACATCAGGCTAGCTACACATAACTCCTAGCCTAAATCTAAAGACCTTGATGCCAGAAATAGCTTCATTGTCAGCGGAAGTGATGAGATGGTTGATTTTTGTGTATGAGCTTTTTAGATTTTTAGTGCTTTATTTTTTTGTTGTTAGCCACCTTGAGCCTCTTTAGAAAGGTGGGATATAATTTTCTTAGATAAATATACTTATCACTAATGCTACAGTAAAACCTATAGATACAACATAGTTTGTGCTCTAAAATTGATTTCAGCTAAGGTAGATGTCAGGCTGACAGTAAACAGTAGGAAATACTAGGGCAGAATTAGGTACTTCTAGAGGAATGGACATGTTAAAGTTAGGGTGAATCAACAAAGGCCTGGCCAAAGAAGTGGGTCCAAAGTAAGGAGTCAGAGGAGAAGAGGTGTCTCATCAATTCAAAAGGGCAGTTTTGCCAAGAATAGGGAACAGCCCAGACAATGTGTTATGCCAACTTCTCCAGGAAA